ATATGCTGATGACATGAAAATTTAAAAAAAAAAAAAAACTATAAATGATGCGTTGTGTCTTCAGAATGATCTTAACCGCTTCTACGGCTGATTTTCAAGTAACAACCTAAAAATCAATGTAAGTAAATGTGCACAAATGTGCTACTCTAGGCAAAAACGGCCATTTTTTACAAACTATACTTTGAAGGGCCAAGCTCTTAGTCGAGTAGATTCAATAATGGACCTGGGTGTTTGCTTCGATAGCAAGTCATCATTTATAAACTACTATAATCATATCATATGCAGCTCAAGCTCGATGTAAGGTTTTACTAAATGCTGGTCAAAGGATTTAATGATCCTTATATCTTAAAGTCACTCTACACATGCCTGGTCCGTCCTCATCTTGAATATACATATCAATAGGATTGAGTCTATTCAAAAAATTTTTTGAAGTTTGCACTGTGTCTTCTTCCGTGGGAAGACCCCATCATTCTTCCACCTTACGAGCACAGACTCAAATTAATTGACCTACCCACACTGGGTAAAAGACGTGACGTCGCGGATTTGTTATTCATTTTTCAGCTTCTGAAAACTGACTTGATCTCCCCCGACATTTTAAAAAAAATGGTGATTGATTCCAACCTTAGGTCTCGTTCGCCGGATCTTTTCATGGTTCCTTTTCAGAGGACCACCTATGGGAAAAATTAACCTGTCAACAGAATGCTGCGTTTATGCAACAAACACAAACACAGACTTGACTTTTCACTAAAGAAAGACACGATGAAAAAGCTTCTATTTACTTATAGTTAAGTATAACCCTTTGCATTATTTTAACAAATTCTTGTTTTAGTTTTTCATTGTTTATATTCATATTTAATGGAATATTATTACTAATAAGTTTTATTTTGTATAATTTTTAAATTTAATTTTTAAGTCAAAATTTTGTTCTGTCTAAAAAATATATATCTGTATATGCATTCTTTAATTTTAAATTTTGTAAAATGTTTGAGCTAAACATAAATAAATAAATAAATAAACTATCTGCAGCAAAATATATGAGTAAATAAAACATAAGTGAACATTAAATTTCTTCACAATATATTTTTAGGACAAAATTTAATAATAAAATGTTATTTTATTGCATTAAGCTTTACAAATATGGTATTTTCAAAAAAACATTTAGGGGAAATTCGCCGATATTGATGTGAAATGAGAGAACTTTATTAATTTTTCTTTAAATAAGAACAAAAACAAGAATAAAATTATCAATAAAAAAAAAGTTCATTTGACATTTCGCATTATTCAGATTTCGAACCTGAGGTCTTTTGCATAGAAAGCGTGTGCTATACGCACTTTATTCGCATGCATTTTAGAATATAAATACATATTTACACGGATTTATTAGGAAAACCATATATCTTTATGTATATTACGGGTGTGTTTTTGAAGAAATGATAGTAAACTTAAAATATCTAACAAACAGAATGGAAGATAATTTTGAAACTCGGAAAATAATACTTGCAGAGCTTGCAGTGCATACACACAACTAGTTTAATATTGATAAAAAACTTCGGTGGGCTCGTGAACTACGTAGTCAACTCGATGCTGTAAGAAACTGGCTCGTGGTTGTCTACAATCTCATGCACCAGCCCTATGCTTCTCCCAGGAGAAAGTAGGATAAACAAAATAAATGCTTTTACTAAATATACAAAATTATTCGCAGTTGAAACGACTTGTGTTAGAGAAGTTTTATTATGTTTAAAAAGTTATTTTTTAATTATTCAAGACCACAATGCATAAATTTGGATAGAGGTAGTTGTTTCACATCAAAGGATTTCGAAGATTTTGTTAGTCAGAATAATATTCAGCACATTAGGACAGTTTCAGCTATCCAGACTCTATAACAGTCTCAAGTAAAGAGCGTGTAGCAAGAGTTATTTGTTGTTAATCAAATAGCAAGGTAGCGATCCAGTAAAAGAAATTATTAAAGATGAAATTAATTATGAAAAAGGAAATTAAAAGAAAATTAGAGAAAATAGTAGTGAAACTACACACAGGTTCAAATTTATTACGAAAAATTAGTAACATGTACCGTATCATATCAATAAATAAAACTTACGAAAAAAAGTAGAAATTAATTATTACAATATATAGATTTAAGCAAATAGTTTTAAAAAATAACTATTACAAATAAGATTTGATTAATTGTACGTTAAATATTTTAATGAAAATACACATTCATTTTTGTTAGAAACGTATAAAATAACCATTAAAATTAAAAATTAAATCTTGACAAACATACAAGTATATTTTTTTTTTGGAAAATTAAAATTAATTACGAAAAGAAATAAAGATTCAGCGATTATTAGGGAAACAAAGGTTGGCATGGGTTCTAGTCGATTTAACATTTTCCTAACATGCGAAACTGGAAATGCTAGGAAATGCACTCTGAAAACATCAGCTCTGCCAACAAATCTAACTCTCGCCTCCTAGAAGGTAGGTAACATAGTAATCTGCCGGG